AAAAAAAAAATTGTAGAAAGGCCAATCTTTCTGCTATCTAATTGACCCATCGATTCGAGCGACAAAGCACCATCTTTTGCCATTCCGTCAAGCTAAGCTCTTCTAATCACTCAAAACTAAATCCATACACCCCTCGCTGTTCTGAAGAACTTCGTCTCCCCAGAGCCTCGCCACATTTTTTTTTATTTCCTTAATTTCACTTTACGTTGTATAACGTTAGTTTCTTTTAAATAATAAACATATATCTATAACTAGGTGCTGACTATTCATACACATTCATGTAAACACACACACATACACACACACACACACACACACACACGCAAACACACACACACTCATGCACACAAATGCACAACACATACAAAGGACATTCACACTAGTTTAACGCACAGTCATAAAAATCGCGATAACATGTAGTTTTAAGATTCTTGGGCTGTTTTTTACCATGATCCTGAAAAGATACCTGTTTATAATTTCGCCTCCACGTTCAGCAGCAATCATTTTAAGCAGTATGTTGCGCAGCGTGTCACCTAATGTGCCGTATCGTATGATTTCATCGCGAAAAATAATCAGACCCAAGTTATATACAGGATCAACATTTTGCTGCTGCACGTATACACGATCCATATACCTGTAATTATATCCTAGCAAAATTACACACGCTAATTCCATATCAACGAAAAAATAAAGATATCGTCTTGGAGGACATCGTATATCCTCCTAAAATCTTTTATAACCATAGCCGTAGTGGCGAATTGAACATACTGATAAGCACATTATTACCAAGAATCGGAAGTAACAGCCATTAGAAGGCTGAATCAGAAGTGGACGATCCAAGTGAGGCGGCGGCCGAAGGGCAAATATCAAGGCCATCCGGGCAACCAGTGTGAACATCAGACGCTTAGCGATGTCACTGGAATGCTCTCTCATCTCAGACAGAGCTATGCTAAATTCTTCGATACTTTGCTGCATACCTTTCCAGACTCATCTCTCCCCCTCCGCCCACATATGCCACTTCTCCAAAAAATCGTCAAAGTGGTCGTTTGCTTTCTCGTGGTTCACACTT